TGAGCAATTTGTCCTGAGTTGGCACTCTCAGTTGGGTTCCGCCAGAACCGCATTGTCACAGGAGGTTGGGGACAAGGTGAGGAATCAACATTTGTATACCCTCCCCCACTCCTGGGTCGGCTAGGGGCGCACAATCAGGCCCCAACTTTGTAACAAGGCAGGTAAGGATCAGCTCCCCTCACCCCCCAATCCAGCCAGAAACCCTCACACTTTTCAATCATGAAAGGGGGAGCCCATGACCCCGCTTGGGAGCACAGGATCAGGGCCCCCAGCACTCTTAAGGGATACAGGATCGGGCCCCTTAACAACCAGGTGAGGGACGCAGAATCAGCGCCTCTTCAAGCCCCCTTTTATCTCACCCCCTCCTCTCACTTTGCAATCAGGGAAGGGCAGGGGGTCATGAACCCCTTGGATCCCTGTAAGTGCCCCCACTTGCATCATCAATAGGGTTTTAATCAGGACCTTCAGCACAGCCCTCTCCCATCTGTGCTAGAGGAATAACGCCATTAGCTGGCAGCAGCAGTAGTAGGCTGTTATCCTCAGGGGGTGGGGACAGGACCATGCTTTTGCCACCATGTTACAAACAGGTGACTGAGGGCTCCCTACTTTAAACCAATGCTGGGTGAGCATATCTCCCCCTAGTGGTGGGACCCAGCCACAACACCCTGCTACAGAGTCCCAGTAACCAATGCGCTCCTAGAGGCCTGGGCACTGATGATCCCAGGTTCAATTCCTGCTTATGAAGGCTGCATGCATGTGGAAGTTATCCAGGCTCTCCTCTGCCCGCCGCCCTTGCCCTCCTACCTTCCTCTGGTAGATGGCGTTCCAGTCGGTGGTAGCAAACCACTTGTGGTTCTTGATGTCGTTGACCCCGTTCTTGAGGTTGCCAAAGCGTTTAGTGATGTCCACCTGCAGCAGGTTCCGGAGCAGGTCCTTCAGCTCCGAGCTGAAATGACCCGGGAACCGGACCTGGGGTGGGGAGGAGAGACAGAGGTCTGGCTTTTACCTGCCCTGCCCTCGTGGCTAGATTCACAGATAGACCTAATAATGTACAGCCCCTAGCAAGGGGGGGGCGGTCCTGGGCTATGCCTGGGCGCTGAGACACTACCATAATACACCTAGTAATGTACAGCCCCTAGCACAGAGGGGTCCTGACCCATGACTTGGGCTTGTAGGCAGTATCGTAATACACCTAATAATAAATAACAAGCCCTTTAAAACCACTCCAGGACAATGAGTGGACAAGAGGGGTGGGGGGGCTACTGAGAACTGACACAGGAGCTGAAATGCTTATTTAGCAGCAGCAGCCCCCACCCCCCCAGCTCTTATTGAGCATTTTTCCTCCACAGATCTCAAAGCAGGGCTGCCGCATCAGTATACTCATTTTACATAAGGGGAAACTGAGGCACGGGGAGACGTGACTTGCCCACGGTCACTCAGCGGGCTGGTAGGAGAACCGGGAACAGAACCCAGGTCTGTTAAGTTCCCCACTAGCTTTAAAGCTGACCGTGTCCAACACGAGTGCTTGGAGATCCTTGGCGAAAAGGCGCTGGGGTGGGCAGAGGAGTATTATGGGCTCTTGGTTACTATGGCGATGAGTGCTGTACCAGTGCCTGGAGATGACTAGCGGGTTTAAGGAACGTAACAGGGTTGTGGAGGGTTTTGCAATTCAAAACAGTGTATAAGAAAACCAAAGACACCTGTTCCAGGAGTCCCCATGAGAGTTACAGGGAGCACAATGGTGGTGGGGTGGGGGATGGAGTCCATGTGTGGGAGAACAGGGGTACGTGGCAAGGGAGGGCCTATGTGTTGGGGTGCAGGGGGAATGGGAAACATGACAGGGAGGATGCCCACGTGTTGGGGACTGGGGGAGCATGGGAGGGAATGAGCATGTTGGCGGCGCAGCGTGTGAGCATCTCCCTGATTGGATGCTGAGACTTGGCACCCCCCTTTACCTGGCGAACCCCGTTTCCCCCTCCCCCGAAAATCACACAAGTGTCCCCTCCCCCAGCCCAAATACCTTGCCAGAGACGATTTTCTCATAGATCTGAATGGGCTGGTCCACAAAGAATGGGGGGTAACCAGCTGCCATCTCGTGGATGAGGACGCCCAGGGCCCACCAGTCCACAGCCTTGTTATAACCCTGCCCAGGGAAAGCAGGCCAGGGTCACGCACCGAACGTTTGGGGGTGGAGGGAACCACCTGGTGGCCAGGGATCAGCTAGAGATCAGGCAGCGGACAGGCCCTCCCCAGCTCACCTTGTTGAGGAAGATCTCGGGGGCCCGGTATTCCGGGGTCCCACACAGAGTCCAGGTTCGCTCTCTCACCCGCTTGGCAAAACTAAAACCCGTCACCTGGAGCCAAAACACACAGAGGGGAGAAGCTGGATCAGCCCGGAGGCTGTGACAGCAGGAGGGGAAGGGGAGGGAGCAGATGATTGATGTATTCTGGCCGTGTTGGGGTGTCTTGGCTTTGGGAAGGGGATGGCAGCAGAGAGAGACCTGGACACGGAGGAGATCACTGCAGGGAGCCAGGAGCCAGCGCTGGGATGGGGAAGGGAAGGAGTGAGGGAGGGGCAGCAGCATCACCTTGATGTAGCCCTGCTGGTCAATCAGGAGACGCTCTGGCTTCAGGTTTCGGTAGATGACATCCAGCGAGTGCAGATACTCAAAGGTCAGGACGATCTGAGCAGCGTAGAACCGGGCGTGAGGTTCACTGCAATGAGGCGGGAGGAGAACGTGGGCATCCCGGGCCAGATCCGCCCCCTCTCAGCCAGCCCAGCAAGGTCGGCCCCCTGCCGCCCCCACCTTCACCTTCCTTATAGATCCCCAGGCAAGATGCCCCAACCCTTCTAGGCCTGGTGGCCCTATCTGCCCAAGCCAGACCACTAGCCCTAGCACGCACATCCCACCCCCACTGCTAGACCCCTGACTCCATCCAGCCTGGCAACCCAGAGCAAGCCCCCTCCCAGACCAGCATCCCCCTCCTAGCCCCAACACACACACCCATGGACCCCCAGCTCCTTCCAGCCTGACTCCATCTAGCCCTGGCATCCCTGCCACTGACTGTGGCTAATGCTGGCAGAAGACCTCAGCAGCCCTCCCCATGGGGAATCCCTTCCTGACCAGCCCAGCTGGGGATCAGGTCATGCCCTGCAACATGAGGATCAAAGCCAGCATCGCTGCAGATGCTGCTAATGGATAATAGGTCTAGTTCTCTACTGTACTAAATCCCAAATTCACCGCTGTGGAAACTGAGGCACAGAGTGATTCTCCCCCCTTCCCACAAGGAGTGAATGGCACAGGCAGCAATAGGACCCAGGAGTCCCGACTCCCAGTCCCTCTCCTCTAAGTGCTAGATTCCACTGTCCTCCCTGAGCCAGGGATACAACCCAGGAGTCAAACAGCCACCCAGCTCTAACCGTTAGCGAGACTGTCCCCAACATCGGCTCCCATGGCAAAGCTCACCTGAACCTCCCGATCTGCCGTAGGTGGGAGAACATCTCCCCGCCCGGGATGTATTCCATCACCATATACAGATTGGAGTTATCCTAGAAGGAAATGCAGCAGCAACGGAGTTCAAGGGGGCCACCCGGCAGCGCCTGCGACACCAGGAGGAAACTGCTCCCCACACCCCTGCTCCTTTATTAGCCCCATCCCTTTCTGGGCGCTAACCCCACACGTTTCCAGGGAGCCTGATGCAGTGGCCGGGCTTTGCCATAGCACTAAATGCAGTGCACCCGCTGTCTGGGAGAGAACAGCCTACTACTGCCGCCAGCTGCTGCTGTTACTCCTTTACCTCAAGGGCCAGAGGGACTGCGCTGTGGTGCCGAAGATCCCAGACACACACCTGCAGTGGGAGTTGCTGCACAGACACGGCTGGGGAATAGACTCACTAATGAGAGGGCGCGAGTTTTATTTGCTTGGAGTATTTAGTGCTAGAGCCCTAGAAAATCCAACCCCTCCCCACACATCTGGTCTAGGGGCAGGGACGGGCAGGCCCAAGAGGGATTTCCAGCTGCGACGTCTACAATCAAAGGGGAAACCCAACCTGCCGCCAGGTCGGACACCCCAAAGGAGCAGAAGAAGGAAGTGAAACTTCTCAAAAGCAGAGTGTGAAATTGACCAGGCTGCCTTCATCCTCCCCCGCGCCTGCAAAGTCAAAGAGCAGCCTCCGAAGTAACTCCGCTGAGCCCAACAAAGCCATTCCGCTAGTGAGACCCTGCCCGGCTCGGTGGTGAGAACATGAGCACGAAGCACCCGCACACGCGCCAGCGGAGACCACTGCCCCTGCCCTCGAGCCCAGGGTGAATTTCCAGCTAGCCCTGGAGAGAGGGTCCAGGCGGGGCATGGGCTGAGCGCCCCATGCTGTACGGTCAGAGGCCTTTTTCTGCAGCCAGATTAGGAGACAGGAGCCAAGAAGCAGAAAGTCACATCCTCACATTCCAGCTAAATTATATCAGAACAATGGAATACCGGGCTGGTAAGAAGGCTCCTGTCCTCACAGTGCCCAGCATCACCAGGCAAAGAAACAGATCTTAGGATGCTCAAAGGAATCACTTAGCAGCAGTGTGGCTGTGAAATCTCTACATCTTGATTGTTTTCCCTTGCTGGTCCCCACTTCTCTATTGTTTATCTGTCTGCTTCTTTGATTGTTTCTGGTACATAACTAATTTTGCCAGGTGTACATCAGCGAAGGTGGTGGTGTACGACTGGGTAAAGTATCAGAGGGGTAGCCGTGTTAGTCTGAATCTGTAAAAAGCAACAGAGGGTCCTGTGGCACCTTTGAGACTAACAGGAGTACTGGGAGCATAAGCTTTCGTGGGTAAGAACCTCACTTCTTCAGATGCAAGTTGTTTCACACTACGATAGGATTGGTCAGAGAATTATTTTGTAACACTTCAGTAAAATGATTGGTTAAGGTAGAGCTAAGCAGGACTCGAGTTTCACTATATAAACTGGTGTCCAAAAGGAAGTTCTTGGGAACCAACTCCAGGACACAGCCCAGCATCAGCGCTGCCAGACCTCAACACCCTGCCAATGACACCATGCAGAACCTGGAGTCCCAGGACGAGCTGATCCTGACTGGCCAGCAGGGAAAGTTCGTCTGCTTACTGGGAGTGATGGGCATTGTATGAGTAGCGTGTGTATTCTGTTCTGGTAACTGTGATGAAGTGGGGGGGTTTCTTGGGTTTTTCAATGGTTTGCATGTAGAGGGGGTGGGACTCAGTTTCCCTGAGTGTTACTGGTTTAACGAGGTGGTGGGAGAGGGAGTTTGTTGTTACAGAGGACCAGCGACAGAACTTGGAACCCCAGCCTATGGCCTGGAGAATGGATACCTCAGCGACTGGTGAACTGGTGACCAGGAGGCCCAGCTCGGGAGTCACAGCTGGTTCTGGCCAGTGGGAAGACAATGTGCTGTGAAGAGAGGACCCCAGTGACCTGAACAGGTGGTTCCAGCCAGAGGACAGCTGAGAGGAGAGGAGGCCCAGGGGACCTTACTAGGACAGAAGACAAATGACAGAGGCGGGACTTGGGGGACGTGGTATTAGATGCCCAGCTGGGAAGCAGGGGGGCTCTGGGCTAGAGAGGGAGAGCAAGAAGAGCCCACCTGGATGCAGGCGAGACTTGGATGTGCTGTGCTGAGGGAGGGCAGGCTCGAGGGCCCTGAGAGTTTCCTGTGATGTGTTCAGATGCTCAATAAAGCTTCCTGTTTTACGCTGGCTGAGAGTGGCTCCGGTCTAGAGAACAGGGTTGCATTATTCCCTCTGGGAGTGGAGGTCCTGGGGTTCCAGAGCAAGTGGACTCCCTGAGGGGGCCCACAGTGAGAGACAGGTGTGCTAAGGCTCAGAGAGGTGCGGTTCCAGGAGGCAGAGGGGCTTAACCCCCAAAAGAGACTGGACCCCTGAGAAGGGCTGTCACACTGAAGGAGGTTCCCCCCAGGGACTGCACGGGACCAAGAGTGGGCACGACCTGCGAGTCCGTGACAGTAACTGTTAATAAACAGAGGTTAAGGATATTTCTGTATGAGGCTCTTTCACTGGGAAAAGACCCTGCAAACCCGCAGAGTGTGAGGTGACGCCCTGAGCCCATGAAGGGTGAGACTAGGTGCCTAAATTAAGAGGGTTACGCCTTGAGCCCCAGGAGCAGGGTACAGGTGGGTGCCCTAGCGCGTAAGGGGAATGAAGCCTGAACCCAGCTGTCTCTAAGGGGACGAAGGGAGCTCAGCCTTGGCAGTTCAGCCCATCCTTGGTCTCCCTGCTCAGGCAGTTCTGGTCTGCGTGACATGGGCCTTCCTGACCCTCTGCCAACTAAAC